TAATTATTCTGTCATCTTCAGTTTTGAATACTTACTATTAATTTCTGTGTCTTGCTATCTTCAAATTTGGGAAATGCATGAGCACATAGAAGATTTTTAAAAAATGTTTCTTGAGCACTCTTTCTGAATAATAGCCGTCTCCATAATCTTGTCCAGATCAGCCCCATGTTGCCCTTCCGAATCCTCCAGTGCCTTGACTACATATGCAAATCAGTTGTATGCATCCATTTATATTTATTTATAAAGGAAACATTTCAATTGAAACAGTTCAAAATTTAATAACATACACACAGACATACTGGATATATCAGACCTCCAGAAGAGGAATTTTTGAGTTTAGAAACAATGGATGCTCTCGAGTGAAAAGTCTGCCGGATGGAACTATATGTTGTCCTTTCATTATCAGAAGGGAAGTGGGTCATTTCCCCACTTTACTTTGGCAGTCACATCTCTTATTTGGTTAATGTCGCTAGGCTGTACTGTTTGCTGGTTTAACCCACTTGCTCTCTTAAAGTATCCTTTACTGACTCATATAAACTCTTTAAAACATTATCTCAGTTATTTGATACATTTTCCCTGAATCATTTTAAATAGAGAAATAAATCATTTTTTTTTTACCCTCAAACTTTCCATCTTCTTTAAGATAAATTTCCAAGATGATGACTCACTAGAGGTAACAAATTTTATGGAGTTTGAGCTTAAAGGCAGCCTTTTCAAAAATGCTTCTTAACAAGTATCTGTAAAAGTAGAAGGGCTGGGTGGTGGTGATGGATGCCTTTAATCCCATCACTTGGGAGGCAGATATAGGTGGATCTCAGTGAGTTCGAGGCCAGCCTGATCTACAAAGTGAGTTCCAGGACAGCCATGAATGTAACACAGAGAAACCCTGTCTCAAAAAACAAACAAACAAAAAAACAAAAAAAACCCACGATGGATGGATGATAGATCTAAAAAAGGACAAGGACATAGATACTACCCCTGCTTTGCTTAGAATAATGCATAGAATTTAAATTATGTTCCCATAATTTAAATATTTTCTCATAGGCTTTAAATTCTTTTTCTTCTGGCTTACAAGTTTCACTATGTAACTATCAAATTTTACTGTATTTCACTTTTGCAAAAGAGACTCTCTGCTGGATAGAGTTGCTGATGGTTGATTCTGAACCCTTTCCAGGCACCTTTGCATGTCTGTGCTTCCCCCTAAACCATAGCTCACCAAATAGATGTGTGAACAGAGGTCGGCAAAAATGCTTTTTAAAACCCTTGAAGATAAGGATATTGAAAAAGTTTCAACAATAAATACAGAAGTTTCTTATGTACTTTTATGCCATTTTTAATTACTTTTATTGTGTCAACTATTGGACTATCAAGGGAAGCAACCAGGGAATTGAGAACTTGGTGTGACTAGTGATGGATTTCTCCGCCTAGCCCAGTAAGTGGTGTTCATGGAGGAAAGGCCAATCCTTCTGGGTAGTATTTCTCTTTTGGTTTATGGTCTCTGCATAGTAGTTAATAGCTCACTTCTTTTCTTCTGTCCTCTGATAGCCAGCTCTGCACAATTTAACCCCATATACTAGCCACATGGTTATTTAAGTTTAAATGTAATTATATGGCCTTAGTTCACTGGTCAGATGAACTACATACTAAGTGTTCCTTAGCATCATACCTCTAGTATAGCCATATTGGACATGGCAGATAAACACTATTTCTGTTACGACAAAAAGTCTTATAAAGAGTACAAGACTTGATTTCTAGGCCCTTGGGAACATGATGTAAAAAGTATGCATTCTCTTTGTCTAACATTGAGGCCTTGTGAGATTCCCCTTTTGTGTTAGCCTGTCTGTTGGTGTAGTTTGGGCTTGTTCAGGTAGCCATGTTGATGAGACGACAGGAACCAAAGACTGCTGAGAACAGGAGAAAGAGTTTTCCCTAGGGTAGTGCTCCCAAATTGGATATGGCCTTGAAATCATACTCATATAGGGAACATTAAACAGACTGAGTAGGTTATATTTCAGACATAAAGTAATTGCCTTTCAAGAGGTTCTGAAGCAATATGAACCATTAGATTAAATTTCTTTATTGATTTTATTGAGCTGTACATTTTTCTCTGTTCCCCTCCCTTCCTCTCTCCTCCCCTTCAACCCTCTCCCATGATCCCTATGTTTCCAATTTACTTAGGAGATCTTGTCTTTTTCTACTTCCCATATAGATTAGATTCATGTATGTCTCTCTTAGGGTCCTCATTGCATTGCTGGTGGGAGTGTAGGCTGGTACAGTCTCTTTGTATATTAGATTAAATTTCTTACTCTTTGTCTCAGCCATCCCTCTTGTCCTCTATCGTTTGGTCTTTCTGTTCATTGTGACTTCCTGTGGTGCCCACAAACAAGTTCATAGACCCCTATACTTATTCTCCACATTATTATTTCTAAAGACGTGTGTGTGTGTGTGTGTGTGTGTGTGTGTCTGTCTGTCTGTCTGTCTACCCACCTTGTCTGCACTTCATTGACATTTACTCCTCAGCCCTTATAGCCTGGATTCTCTCTCCATCTATGACACACAAATAAATCAGTTCTTCTCATCAGATCACCATCAATAGCCTCGCTGCTGCCTCTGACTCAGCAGGCATTGCCCTTGTAGTGTGAACAGCTCTGTTCTCCTGGTCAGTCTGTCATTACTCCCCACCTGTCCCCACCTGTGTGCCAGTGAGTACAGTGATAGCCTCCTCCTAGTGTCTTCTTTCAACTTGGGCTTTGGTTGTTATACAGCTCCTGGGCATTTCAGGTCCTCTCTTTGAAGTCTGTATCAGAGCCCAGCATGTGTCCTGCAGCTCCCTCTAGCTTGTCCTTCTCCTACTCTAGGATAAAGATTTCCAGCTTTAATGATATGGTCCTAACTCTTGTGCAGGGCTCTTCTACAGGTTTACTTATGAATCACAATATATCCCATGTACTTCTAGTTGTAACTTTTACTTTTCTTTTAAAACGTGTGTCTGCATGCACATGAGAGACCAACAGTTGAGTATAGTGCCTTCCTTTATTACTTCCCAACCTTATTTTCTGAGATAGGATCTCAGTGAACTCAGAACTTAACAGTTGGCTAGACTGGTTGAACACAACAAGCTCCAGTGATCTCTGCATCCCCAGTCTCCCAGCACCTGGGTTACAAATGTATGCCAACAGACTCGGCTTTCATGTGGGTGCTGGGGATCCAAATTAAGGTTCTTATGACTGCACAGCAGACACTTTACCACCGCTCCCCCACTGCACCTACCTTTGCACTTCCCCTCTCTGTGTATCTGCTTGCCTTAGCGTGCCTACTCTTCATCACTGTTCCAGTTTTCCTGGCTTTGCCTTGTTTCTAAATTATCCCCTCCCCCATATCGTGTCTGATTCTCTTTCTATTGCACCTCAATTATTCTACCAGTATATTAGCACTGTTATTTCCCATCTCTGTATTCTTTATTCATTTTGCTGCTGGATAAATTTCCTAGTGGCCATATTAAGAAAACCACACAAAACACACACACACACACACAAACAATAATTACCCATATTCATTTCTGAATAAATTATAAATTACTAGGATTCAAAGTCAAAAATCAGCAAAAGGTATCTAATAAAACCTTTTGTTCCTCTTGTGCCCTTTTCTTTCTTAGACACAGTCTCAGAAAAGGCAGTTTTTTTAAGATAAAGTTTAGCACATATAAAAGTACATATTTGTATGTATGAATTTTCCTTTTTCTGTAAAGCAGTCTCCTGTGAAGTATGCTATTTCATATCATTTGCCTCAGTGATCTCTTTATAAAGAGCTTCTTGTTCTGTCCACAGCTCCCTAGGATTCCTCTGAGGAGTTGCCCTGTTTATTGAGCCAGTCCCCTCTTAAGATGGACATTAAATGGTTCTGTACTTCTGCAGTCCCAAACACATCTGGAAGGGCTCACCAGTCATTTTGCTCCATTGCAAGTATATATGCAGGTCACTTGTGAGGGAGCCAGTTGGTTTTTGATATTTTATTTTCTCTCTTAAAAATATTTCAACTGGCTTACAAAGTAGCAGGAGTTCTTGTAACACGTTTCCTGCTACTTAGTTTTAGTTGACCCTTCTTCTGATTCCCTCCTGCACCCTCCCCCAAGCTGTGCCTTTCACTCGACATCATACATGTTCTGTTATTATTCCTACAGCCCTCCGAAGCCTGGCTTCAACACACATGCATCTTCACATAGATAAACATGAAAATGAGACGCTAAGCGCCTATTTTTACGCATGTTTGACCAACCACTGTCCTGACTGCTTGGGTACTGCTTCCTTTAGATCAACTTGCTTAACTGCAGTCTTGACGGCCTTGGCAGTCCGTCTGTTCATGCCCTGTCAGCGCAGCAGGGAATGTGGCAACTTGGCCCATGAAGACAGTCAGTGAGCACATCTGACACCTTTCCTGGGACTTGTTTTCTTGCTGCTTGGTTCTGCTGGCTCCTCCTCTAACTACGCCCACACATGTCTGTGTCCCTTAGGTACACCTTTCTGAGTTTGCTTTGCACAAAGCCCCTTCCCTCAATCTTCACCCCCCTAAATCTGTTGCATCGTTTTGGTCGTGTACCATTATATCCATGCATTGTCCCTGATTCTTCTTCCTGCTAAAAAGTAACTGTACTTTTCTTGAGTACTCTCATCAGCTGTGTTTATTTATTTTTATACTATTACTATAATTCTTCCAACTTCTCTGCTAGTTAATAATGCCTCAAACACTAGGGGGTGGCCTTGTTTTGGTATTTCATTTCTCATGTCTCTTGCTATCATGCATATAATAATGAGTGAAAAAGAACAGCACTGCTTCTATTGTCTGACATGAACTAGTTTCAGTGAGAGAACTGCCTCTGTGTGCATAGTCTGTTGGTGTTTTTATGCCCTTTCTTTATCTCTTAGGGATGTATTTGAGACTAGGTTGTTTTTCAGGTCTGCCCACACCTATGATAATGCTTTTTCTCTTTTTGTATGTGTTAGGTTTTTGAAGAACCTTCCATCAGCCTTTTTGCCCTGGAACACTGTGAGGGAAGAGAGTTACATCTTGAAGACGCTGTGAATTCTGTTTTGAACAAGGACCTACACTTCTATACCCAGTCTGTGTGGATAAAGAGTGGATTGTGAGTATGGGATAGGGGCTCAGTCTGGGTTAGTCATTGACTTCATTAGGGCTGCTCAGTTTCTGTTTCCCCACCACTGCTGCGTTGGCCTGCTGGTGCTCTTGTTCCTGTTCCTCTTGCTACAGTAGTAGCTTCTGTTTATGTAAGAGGAGATGGAGCCATGCCCAATACATGGTGCTATGCAGTGATCTGTATCTGGGACAAGAACCTTTTGGGGAGGAGAACTGGTACCCCAGAGAGCATTAATCATAAGGCAGTTCCACCAGGTAGTTTTTGTTACTTGGACCTACTTCCCTTTCAGGAGAAATTCCATGAAATCATCAATTTTGGCTATGAGTAGCATTGCCTGTGTAAGACAAGTGACTATTTACAAGACGAAGATGGTTAGATTTTACTTTGACCTGACAGCTCATTTTTCCAAAAGCAGTACCTACTGAAATGCTCATTTTCACTGGTTGATGCATCCTGCCTACCGTTTCCATTCATTTCTGTTACTAGTCAGAGTGGAGCTGGGTTGCACAGGCCCTGTGTGTTTACATTTTGGGAAACTGTCTTTTAAAAGCATTGTTATTAATGTACAAACTGGGTAGTACTTGAGCATCTTTGTTCAGCAGAGGCTGTTGAGCCTGTAGTTGGAGCTTTATTTCCTGGGAAATCTGCCTCTCTGCCCATTCCTGAGAGTGTGGCACAGGAACCTGTTCCTGCTCTTGTATTGCTGATATTTTCAACCAAAACTCAACTATGAAAACATGTATAGCTGGTAATAGTTAATGTAAAAATGACTTTTTATTGCTTACGGCTTTTAACTTGTATGGTAATTAACTCTGTTTAAAAATATGGGGTAATCAGAGAACCTAGACAACAAAGAGGACCCTAAGAGAGACATACATGAATCAAATCTACATGGGAAGTAGAAAAAAGACAAGATCTCCTCAGTAAATTAGGAACATGTGAAACATAGGGGAGAGGGGAGGAAAAGAGGAGAGTGGAGAAAAATATATCAATAAAAATATGGGGTAGTAATCAATAAAAGTCAAGAAGATAAATTAAAATTTAAGTCAACTATTACAAAATGGCTAGTACGTAATTCACACATATTAACAATTTAAGTTTTCCTCTGAAAAGCATTTCACATGGTTTGGCCTTTATTAAAATTAATTGGTTTATTGTCTTTGTATAGGATTCCAGAATATTACTTTCCAGTGAACTAGGACCACTTGAGTTGCATTTCAAAACCCTGTATAGGATTTTCACACTTTTTTTTAACATATCTAAGTTAAACCAGTATTTGACACACTGCTGGAGTTTTCACCGTCCTATTTTTTTTCTCCTTTCTAGAAAATGTGTACAGTTTCACCTTGTCACTATTTATTCATGGTAGCTTTTTATCTATTATTCTTGATTCTCTGTAACAGAATTGCTGGACAAAATTCAAGGATAGTGTATCTGTTTAAAACCCTTCCTGGGCTACACTGGGTATCCAGGATAGCATTTCATGCCAAACCATTTACTCTACGACAAGTTGTGTGGATCCCTGATAGTAATGAGATCCCACATACCTTTTCCATGTGTGACATTCAAGTGTTGAAAGCTGGAGAGGTGGCTAAGCATCTCTGTCTTTGCACATGGTTGAGTGGATTTGTGCAGGGAAGGTTGCCCACCCTGCTGCCTCGATATGCCCGTCATTTGGCCAATCCTAATCTCAGTTGTGAGGAACTCACAAATCTCAGTCAGTTTGAGGCAGGACTCTACACAAGCTTTTGGAGTTAATAATTCAGGCTTTCCTTGGTTCCTCCCTCCTGCTCACAACCTTCTGTAGGAACTGGTGTCTTTTCCTGCACTGACCAGTGCCCCTCTGTAACACTAAAGGGCAGAAGCCACTGCTATAGCAGCAATGACTTCTGTTACTATAACAAAATGCCTGAGACACTTTGAAAAGATTTGTCTTGTTCTTAATGTTCTAGTCTGAGATTAACAGCCAGAATGCTTCAGGTCTTGCATACCGGGATGGTAATGTGAGTTGGAGAAAGACCAACATCATGAGCCACGAAGCAAAAAAAGGGACCAGGGCACCAATGTTCCTTTAAGGACCTCCCACCAGGTGCCATATCCTGAAGGTTCAACTACATCCCCAGGTAGTTGCAGACGATCTACTGCAGACCAGGTGCTTCACATAGGACCTTAAGGGACACTGGTCCACACCACAAGCCTTGAGAGAACCTGTTTCTGGGAACGCTCCGCTAGTACATAGCACACTTCCCTGCTGTGCTGGTTCTCTGTACCTCATCTTCTGGGTTACAGACTGATCATATGTTAGACAAAACGTCCTGTACTTCCAGAGTACTGTGTCTGAAGCCAGCCTCATCCTCCACACTTTCTCTAAAGTGTCTCCGAGACCTTGAATCCCTCTTAAAATTTGGGGTTCTTCTGGCAATCCTAGTGTTTAGTAACCCAGTTTGGTAACTAGTGAGCACAGGGCTCAGCAAACTGTTCTTTTGCGGGCCAGAGAGTGTTTTCAGTTTGTAGACCTCTTGTCTCAACACTTAGCAAACTGTCATAGTGATGCAAAAGCAGCCGTAGCCAGGCTGGGAAGAAATGGACATGACTGCACCAGCAAGTTCCTGGTTCTCGCCCCAGGCCCTGCGTATTTTCACACAACTAAGACTGAATACAACAGTGTCAGGGAAGGTTTCAAAGGAGCCATCTTTGAATCTCTGGAGGTAGTCCTTGGTGACCCGGGGAAGTTGTGAGCAGAGTTTTAAAAGAAATTTCTAGAGAGGTTTCAGCTTTTTGGAGAAGCTCTGAAGTACATGTGACCACCTAAGGAAGGAAGGATTTTTTTTCTTCTATGTAAGGGTGGGAGGACTTTTCAATATTAAAGTGCTTTGAGATTTGCTGTATCAAAGGCATAGAGAACTCCACAGGTGGAGGGAACCTCATTCACTTTCTAAGTACAGGAGCCTGGCATTTCATTCTGACTCCACATGCGGTCACCATCTTTTAGACCTCTACCAAGAACAATGTGTGATTATATACTTTTAGAGTCTGCAGACCTCAGAGCTTTAAAGCAAAATTGCATAACAGTTGTTTTTAGAAAGAGGCTACTTTTGTTGTTTGCAGTCTTCCACCTTTTTCTTTTTTTGCTTTCTTACAGATGGATAGCTTATGAAGGATCCAATTTCTTGGGAAGGCAAATCCTCCTTGTGCCTAACGAGATCCCAAACTGGACAGCATTTAGTGGGTGGAAAACAATTGGTTCTATCCGCCCTATGAAGCAGGTAAGAAGTAGAGAACCAACACATTAGATAGCTTGATTTTTCTGACAGAAATGTCATAAACCATAGTATCTGAAATGTTGACCATTTAGTTACTTGCATATCCAAGGGGAAGGTTATATTCTTAAAAGAATGTTACACATTTTAGTCAATTCATAAAATTTTATATAAGGTCATTATTGGGTTTTAGTGTTGAATACAAAGTTCCATCAGTCATATTCTTTTCACAAAAGTTAAGATACTGTAAATTCTGTGATAAAAAAAATGAAAAAAATTGATCCTTAATATTGAGTTTTACTTTGCATTTGGATTTTTCCTTATGTAACCTTCAGGTTGAATCCTAGCAATTTAATTAAAGTAGTATTTATCACACACCTACTGCTTGTCAGTCTTACATTCCAAAGCTTCCCACTGCACTAGGATACAATCTGACTCCTCCTTGCTTCCCCAGCCTTGTCTCCTCACTCACATGTATCATATGCATCCACACACAGAGGGCCTTTCCAACCAACTGGTAACAAGGTTGTGTTGTCTGTGTAGAATGTTTCCTTATTCTTTGCCAAACTAGTTCTTAACTATCCTTCTAATTCAATCCAATATGCCAGGTCCTCCTAGATGCCTCCCTAGTCTCTCCATTGAAGTAAGAAGAGGAGGCCACCTGTTTTTTCCCGGTCGCCCAGACTCCCAAAATAATCACACAGAAACTATATTATTTAAATTACTGCTTGGCCCATTAGCTCTAGCTTCTTATTTGTTAACTTTTACATCTTAATTTAACCCATCTCCATTAATCTGTGCATCACCACAAGGTTGTAGCCTATCAGCAAAGTTTCAGTGCATCTGTCTCCAGCAGTGGCTCCATAGCTTCTCTTGACTCTACCTTCTTCTTCCCAGCATTCAGTTTAGTTTTCCCCACCTAGCTCTGTTCTACCCTACCAGGCCAAGCCAGTTTTCTTTATTCATTAATAGTAATCACAGCATACAGAGGGGAATCCCACATCACTCCAGTCTAAATTAAAACCCTCTAAGAATTTGGTTCTTTTTCTATAAGATTGTATGTAGCTTATAGCCACATCAGTCCAGATGAATTGGACCCATTCCGTACTCCATTGGAAACCACTTTTGAGAAGCTGTAGTACTTATTTTACTTACTACTCTATCTCTAGTACCTGTCACAGTGTAACCAAAGGCTCAGAACTATTTGTTCTAAAGGAACAATATATAAGTGAATAGAGTTTTTGTGGCCTCTAAGTAGAGATACTAGAAAGATTCCACCTGTCCCTTAGCAGCAGTTTTAGATTAAACATTACAAACTCATTTGTTCACCAGGACCCATATTAAAAGCAAGCATGATGGTACACGTAGGTAATTCCATCAAGAGGGAAGTAGGGGCAGGAGGATCACTTGGCCAGCTTCCCTAGAACAGTTGTGAAGTTCCAGGCAAGTGAAAACCCCATCTGAAAAGTAGATGACACCTAAGGGACCACACCTAATGTTGCCCTCTGACTTCTATACATGCATACTTGTGAGCCCCCAACACTACACAGACCTGTAGCATCAATCAAAACAATGCATGATCATCCAAAGCCATAGGCAGTGTGTGGTGCCAGAAAGGGAAGCTGTACATGCAGACCTGGAAAGTCTCCAAGTCAGGTCAGGAGTGTAACGGGTAACAGATGAGCTGTCCCATCTCTTTACAACACTGCTTAACTTGATTCTGAAAGTCTTTTAAGGTAGGAATTATCACTAGAAAATGAAGACTAAGGTAAAGTGGTTTAACAAAAGCAAACCAGGTGGTTAGAACCAAGATGTGAACACGGACCTTTTATATGTAAGTTTTTAGGCACCCAGGATCTCTCAAAATAAGATCAGCATTTGCCGAGCTCTACCATGCACTCCAAGCAGTGAGCAGTGTCTAGTAGCTACAGATGTGGAGGCTAATGTGATCCACAGGCACCATAGCTGGGCAGGGCTGTTGATTGCCTCCCTCCCCTGGCAGTTTGTATAGCATCTTCTGTACTCTGAAAGTAGTCTTTGGGGAGGAAGCTGTCAGGTCAAATCCAGTTCAGATTTTTGGAGTTCTATGTCTAAAGTACATGGTGTCTTCAGCAACAGGACTTACCTTTAACCTTTCAAATTCTTGATATTAATTTCAAAATATTGCTTTAGATTATTTCCTCATTGTTTAGCTAAGTTAGGTCACTATTTTGAAACTCAACCAAAGAATCCAGTTTTGAAAAAAATCAGTTTTTTACTAAATGTAACTTTGGTATCAGTATTGGTACTGTTGTTCATATCCTTGTTGAGGAGCCAGGAAATAATTAAAACATGACCTTCCTTGAAGCTTGGAATCCAGAAGTCACAAAGATACTTACAATGCATCTCAGTGACTTTAACTGTAATTACAGAAAAGTTAGATGACAAACGGTAATAAGGGTAATCAGTACCTTGCTTGGTCTAATTGATTAGAACTGTGATGTTTAGTCCCAAGGTCATACCTGTTTTACATGTGCAAGGTAATGAAACTATGACAGTTCACTGAAGCTTCAAGAATAATTGTTACCATGGAAGACAACACTGAGTTGTGGGTACTAGGTACATTATTACAGTTATAATTATTGATGCCAGAGTTCTTAGAGTAAAAGCCTGAGAAACAGTAAAAGGAGGGACAGAGATTTATTCAGTGTACAATATTGATAATAAGGCATCAAACTGCTTTGGAGACAAAGAATAGGTTTAAATAGAGGGCTAGAGGGATGTATAATTAAGCAGTCCTCAAGGTTTGGATCCTAGCTCTGATGATGGTGGACTAGTTTAGAATCAAGGCTGTCCTGTAAGGTGTTCCGCTAAGTTGTCACAACTGTGCAATGTCTTGAGAAGCAGTTCATTAGGGCTTCAGCGTTCCTGTTCTCTCAGCATGGGATTCCTGGGGAAAGTTCAAGTCTTTCCAGGAAGTCACTAGCTAAAGGGAGGGGCCACACAGGTCTCTAAGATACCTTGTCCTACCAGGATGGTTACAAGCATGAATGTGGTAGTTTACTTCTTGTCACGTGGACTTTTTATTCACAGCTTTGTAGCCAAATCATTTGCCTACTTGGTAATTTAAATACTTAGGTTCCTTAGAAATGCTAGACACAGTAGCAATGTACCAAAATTCAACCAGTTTCACGTTGATGTGTCTTAAGTTTCAAAAATACACTATTCATTGGTGGTCTTGCCATAGACTCACACTGCACTTATCCCCAGTGAAGGCACTCTAGTTGCAGATCATGTATTTACCTAGCCAGAGTTCTATCCGGGATGCCAACTCTTACCCAAAAGGAATAATAGTGTTTTATACTTTCCGGATGCTTCCTGTTGAGCTGTTTTCAATGACCTTCCACGGTTTTATACTTACAGGGTGGGGCAGTGCCATAAGGATAATCGTGTTCCTATATGGGTCTCTCAGGCATACTGATAGTGACCTGCGTCCCTATCTGTGCTAGCTTTATTTATAAAATAAATTTATAAATTTATTTCTCTAAAAGATTCTGTCATTCTGATAAAATTAAAAGCACAGAAAACATTTAGCACATGTCTTAAGGGCTCAGCAAATAACTAGATTTATTCTGAAGTGCAGTCTAACTTTTGTTTTTATTTAAAAAAAAAACAACTATCTTCTTATTTTACTAACCAATCCCAGTTCTCGCTCCCTCCAACCCCCATCCACTCCTCCAAAAGGGTAAGGCTTCCCATGGGAAGTCACCAAAATCTAGTACATTGCTTTGAGGCAGGACCAAGGCCCTCCTCCACTATATCTAGACTAAGCAAGTTCCAAAGAGAATGGGTTCCAAAAGCCAGTATAAGTAGTAGGGATAAATCCTGGCCTCACTGCCACCAGTGGCCCCAGTCTGCCCAGCCATATAACTGTCATCCACATTCAGAGGACCTAGTTTATGCTGGTTCCCCTGCTATCAGGCGCGGGGTTGGGGGGGGGGGGGAGAGTGACGGGACACACAAGCTGAGTCAATTATCTTCATCATGATCCTGACCCCTTTGCTCCCTTCTCTTGGACTGAACTTTTGAGATTTCAGCCCAATGGCTCTGTTATGATATGTTATGCATCTGCGTTCACTCTGATGCAGTAGTTCTTTTTAGATAAAGATAAAAGGCTTTGCTCTAGGGGTTTTCAAGGCCTTCCTTACCAGCTGCTGACCACTTAATGACTGCTCCAAACTGTGTCTATTATACTTGCTGTTTCTGTACTGTCACCAGGATCCACCTTGGGCAGTACCTGGCCTTTCTTCTCCCTCCCAGAATATCTGAGATGTGATGCAAACTTCACTGTTGCAGCCTTGCCATTGAATTCTGGTGAATGCAACTATTACCTTTTACCCTTTCCAATGGTCACCTCTCAGAGTGTTTAATAGACATTACACAATTTAACCTTTGTGCTCAAGGATTTATCATTAGAAAAATATTTACCAAAGAAAATAAGTGAAACCGTATTTATTAAAAAGTACCTTCTTACTTTCCTGCTTTGGGGAGATGTTTTTCCATTGTGGAAGGTTCCTCCCACCCCCACTTAAATGGCTTTCCTCGTTTTCTTAGCCTGCAGTGTACATCAGAATAAGGAACCGAGCCCAGGATGAGTATTTGACAGTCACTGGGAACCTAGCTGATGCACGGACAATGTCCGTGTGCATCTCTCCCTACAGTGGGAAGGACACTCAGATCTGGCACTACTGCCGGGGACTCTTTAAATCTAAGGTAAAAGATTGTTTTGTCTGATGTTGGTATTTGTATGTTAATTCCAATACTGTCAGCTGGCATGCTGAAAACACTGTTGAAAAAGATCACTGTATAATCATGAACATGCTGACACATGTAAAATGGACTTAAGATTTTTTCTTAATGTAGAAAGTACAGTTTGGGTTCTTAACACATACCTAAATGATTTCTTCTCTGGAGCCAAATTGGACACTATGCTTTTGAGAAGGGTTCCTTATTTGACGACCCAAATAAGACCCATCATACCCATGATTCCAAGTGTTAAACACTTTCTTTTCAGAATATACAGAGGAGTTGTAATAGAAAAAACTGTTATGAAAGATGCTTAAAAAAATGAAATACAAGCTTCCCCCTCATCATGCTTGATGCTCTGGGAATAGAATACTAATTCAGAAAAAATACTATGGTGTCTTGATTTTATCACCTGCAACATGGAAAGCATTTAAAAGTAATTTAGTACCTGTTTACTGCATCTGAATTATCTTTGGTACAGTGTTTTGTTATTTTAACATAGAAAACCAACCATCACATAGTACATTTAAGGTAGCAGGAATTTAACATTTCAACAGGCCTTTCCTGAAGACCTGTAGAAGCAGGGCCTTTTAAAAATAAGTGCATTTTTAAAATCAGCCAGAAAGACATTTAAAGATAAATTGCAGTTATACAAATGTCAGTGATTTATTAAGGAAAGGGTGCCCTGTTTATATTTTATTTTTTAATCGTAGGCCAGTGATACATGTCTTGATGTGATTGGTGGCCGGGACACACCTGGAGCCAAGGTAGCCTTGTGGACTGAACATGGACAGTTCAGGCAGAAGTGGAGACTGAACAGAAATGGAACTATCAGCTCTTACCTCAGTGATGAACTTGTCCTGGATGTTAAAGGTAGGCCTCTGATAATAAAGAAACTTGTGCTAAGAAGGAACTAATATTAATATACTCTAGAGTCATGTAGCCAGAGAACAAAATCCAACAATGAAGTCTAAACAGATTTCCCTTCATTAAGGATGTAAGTGAAAATTTTACTATTCTAATTTTCAAGAACTGTTGGAATTCTAAATTTGAAGCACCAAAATCTACAAAATAGGGATACCACCTGTTTCTCTCCCAGAACATTTTTTTGCATCGAATAGCTGTGATCCTTAAAAGCCCTCTGTTAAAATTTATGGCAGGAGCAATTAACCTTTTTGTTTAATTCTGTAAGATCAGGACCAATATTATTTATGGTTGTTGCTCTAGTCGGGTTAGGCACAGCCACTGTTGCTGTAGAAACACAAGCAGTACCCGACACTTGACTAGAGTTCACTATGGGGCTTTGTTTTGTATGGCATAGGACTATTCATTCACAATTGTAGTTTCTAGCTTTTCAGTTTGACAGTAAGGTCCATTTTAAAGTGAATAATGGCTATGTTGTTTAAACTGTTTTCTAACACAAACTGCTTTGAAAATAAAAGGTTGTGAAGTTGTGCAGTTGCTAATCATCTGTATAACAAACTCTTTTGTGATTTCTATTTTAGGTGGAAACTATTATGATAAAACTCACATTATTGTCAATCAGCCCATGGAAGGAGAAGAAACACAGAAATGGGACATTGAAATCTTGTGAGAATCACAAAGACAGTTGCACCCACTCATTGCCCTGTGTGCATGGGAAGGAAGCTGCCGTGTCCACAATGCTCACACAAAAGATCTTTCTCCTAAGCAGTGAAACTATTGCTCCATGGAAAAGCTAAAAATATTTTCACCGGTTATGCAGTGTCCTTGTGAAGCAATGTAATGATTTTTCCTGATGGATTCAGTTGTGGTGACCAATTTCCTGAAATCTGTACTCCGGTTTCCTAACCACCAAATATGAATCCCATTCTTGATGGCCTGACAGTGCTGTTACCTGCATTAGTATTATATTAGCATCCTGTTCCATGCTTGTGTGAGTGAGAGTCGGGGGTTTAGCACCACTGAAGAAACATTTAATAAGCTTTCGTATTAAGCTGTTGCTGTATTAAAATAAACCGCAGGGTTTCTATATAGAAGCTTTTTATAACAAACACCCATAAGTATTTATACTCTTCAATGAACTGATCTCAGGAAGGGATTTCGGCTTCTTGAGGCAGAAGGCACTAGTACTCTGTATTTTCTGCTCTGTGGCCAATCTTTACTGCTTTCTAACTACAAATGTATAAATAACCTTGGAGCACCCACCAGGTATCCTGGTGTTAACCAAGATGTTCTAAAGTAACAATACTCTTAATAGTGGTGACCTTACATTTTGTCTGATTTTGTCCTTAAGTATAAATCACTCTTCCTCGAGTAAAGGATTACCCAAAGGTTCAGATTAAGCAAAATAGGGCTTCTATTTTGTCTCTGCCACCTAACTTTCTCTACTCAGTGACAGACAATTCAGGGTCACCATCATTACCTGTATAGGTCAACAGCCTGCCCTTTCCTGAGATGGACAAAACTAATTAAGACAGTCACTGCTTTCAGTCCCAACTTTTGTCAGAAAGAAAACAATACTCTTATTTTTACTCCAGGAATATTTTAAAAAATACCAACCACCTCTATGCACTTTAGACTCAAAGACCTAACTTTGAGTATTTTTTTTATACACTTGGTCTTTCTATGTATATACCGGTCTCTGGCTTTTCTGTCATCTTCTAAGCAGTGTCTGGAAGCCCCTCATAGGTGTGGCAGTATTTCATGAAACATTTACTTTAATGGGGACAGGGGCCATGTAAATTCAAATATATGTATATTTTCATTGTAAAAACAATAACTTTCTAAGTTTTAATTGTTAAAGTATTTTTGGAGCCACTGAGGCTCTTTAAAGGAGTTATTTTTTCTTCCAAAGAACCAAGACAAAGCCAGGTTAATGACATAATTCTCTATGACACATGTCCTGGAGGAGTTGTGCCTTTTCTACAACACTGGATTAAATAAACTTGTCACAAGTCCTGACCTGCTCTCCCTCTTGTGTCCATGAGTACATGTGGAAATGTGCCAGCTTCTCCCTGCTTTGCGGTGTAGCCTCCACCCAGGGTGTTAACAGAGCGCCAGGAGTCCTAGAATTAAATTTGCCTTTACTGAAAATGTGTGCACAGGAAATAACAGCTCTCTGTATACAGGCTCTAGAATACTTGCACTAAACACTCCGTCCAGAGAGAGACTGCCAGGTTGCTCTTTTCTTCATCTGTGTGAAGTTTCAGGTCCTTGACAGGCACTGCTGAACCACTCCAGATTTGCTTCAGAGCATCCATATGTGATAAAGGAAAGCGAAGTCCGTGAAGCTTTAGGGGGATAGATAGATTGTTTAGTACCAAAGGAAAAAAAATTCTAGATTTTTGCATAAGCTTATATAATTCTCTCATGAAAAATTTATTTTGGAAAAAATTATTTACTTCAACAGTAATTAGATAATTCACAGAAGTCATCAATTCGCATGTGAAAGCCTAGACTCAACAATGGACTTCAGCAGTAAAGCTGTTGCAGAATGCTTGGCATTCATCACACTTTCCCTTTAGGGCCATACTATGTTTTAAAGCTGCTGCCTTAATCATCCCTGTGCAAGTGCCCTATCAGTCAAGTAAAATGGTGGTCCACACTGCACCTATAAATGCACATGACCTTCAATCACAAGAAATTATCCCAGCCATAACCCAAACAGGAAAGACACATGTTTTTAGCTGAAACACACCTGTGTTTCCTCATCTTTTCCCATCATGTGCACCTGTCTCAGATTCTTCAGAGAATGATAGATGTAAGCCATCATTTGTGGAGCTTCATCCTTTGAAGAAAATGTCAAGTTATCAACAAGAAAACGATTGAGGGCTTCAGTACTAGGAGCGTTTAAAAATAATTCACCACCAAAGAAAAATCTTTTGGTGGGAGCTGGGGGAATCCTGTGTAGCTCTGGCTGGCTTAGAAGTAGCTATGTAGCCTTAAATTCAGAGACCTGCCTGAAATAAAGGCATACAGCATCATGCCTAGTCCCAAGGAAAATCTTAAAGCCTTGGGCCTTCCTTGGTCCTCCAGCAAAATTTACTCAATTCTGTTCAGAATCCTCTGAGCACAAAGTTACAAATACAACTGTTGATGCTTGAAGTCACTGTTTTAGAGAAACCAGAATGTTCAAGAACTTGATTTATGTGTCAATTTATCAGTGTGTTTCTTCCTTGAATCATCTGCACTTTGTTCTATCAAAATCTGATGTTTCTAGAACAAACTAGTAAGTTATGAAGTGGCCAATTGTTGAGATATACGAGCTATGTTATTTACTAAAACTTCCATTTAAATTTCAATAGTGTCAAAATGATCTCTACTCCCTTCCATCCCCATCCTAAATGGGGCAACTTATTTTCTTCCACAAACTTCATCATTCCTTGTCATTGCTTAGCTAATAAAGGCCTGGGCCAACATACAATGTCTCACACTTACTAGTTATCAGAATCATTAGGCTTTTTTGAAAACAAGGTATGAGTGTATACTTCAGTGGTTTTATTTATGTCATCCTTGTCCAGGCTTTGTCCTGACAGCTGCAACCTGGCTTTTTGTAACCCTCTCAATGTTAGGAATTAACAGGTAAAGCCCTAAATATAGAATTGTTCTCATAGACTTAGTATTCTTTGGGGGCTAAATAAATAAATGGAAAGAATCCATTTCAAACCAGGTGAAACTTGAGATTTTTCTAAAAAAAAAAAAAACAAATTTTTTTTTTTTTTTTTGTCTATGGGTATTGTGCTTGTATGTGCGTCTGCATACCACCTACATGTCTAGAACTTATGGAGGACAGAAGAAGACACTGAATGCCTTAGACAGTGGTAAGCTGCCATGTGAATACTGAGAATGAAATCTGGGTTCTCTTTAAGAGTAGCAACTGCTCTTAACTACTGATCCATCACTCTAGCCATAGAAAACATTCCTATTAGCCAGTTTGGAGAACCCACGGACTAAAAACGCCAAATTATAGGGTATATATTTTGTTCTCTATGATCTACACTATAGAATTTATGCCAGATCTCTGCAGTAGAGAATGAGAGGAACTGACACAGGGAAATTCAAACCAAGTTCTTCATGCAATAGCAGGGTAGCCTGCAGTAGATTAGAAAGCAGAGAAGGAAGAGGATCTGGGGATGAGGTTAAGACCTAGACTCCCTATAGAAAGGGCAGTTTAGAAGAGGAACTATGAGACAGCCATTACCCAACTGGAGTAACTTGAGATTCATGGCAGTAGTATAAATAGAGGACATCTCTTCCTTCTGGATACTCACAGATTGATCCTCATCTGGCCCTACTGTGAGGACAACGTGGTCTCTAAACTGCAGTCTTATTGTGCTGTCCAGCGTTGGGAACTTTTCAGCTAGAACAGAAAACCATCCATCAAAAAGGAACCAAGAGGTTCAAACTTGCTTGCAACACATCTTTTAGCTCACATTCTCCCAAGTACTCACTCCGACATGTATGGTGATAATTAAAAGTGCAGCTTGCACCCCCACGGATCTCATTCTCACAGAGTTACAGACATATCATTATGTAAATAATAGCACAAGTTAATAGTGAACTAGAGGGCCAGGTGTGGGGCTCTGTGAGAGGGTGCTTATTTAGCATGAACCTTTGTATTTGTGCCCTGTATTCAATTCCCAACCCCCCACACAAAAGGTACATTAAATAGGTATAAATAAGCCCACCAAAGCACAACGGAGGAAAGCGCTGTGTTGTTTTCTGTGCAAATGCTCACCTCTCTACACTGTGGAAGGAATGGGTTGTATGACAATGGCACATGATCTAGTCCAGTAAGTCAAGCATTATGTCCTTTGACTATCCAGTCTTTCTAAAGTAAATTAAAATTAAGAGAACCATAAAAAACAAGCTGGCCTTATAGAGTCATTTGATCTGGAAAGCATTCAAGAATCATAACTTTATTGAATATAGTAGCTAAACTTGGGAAACCATTAAATAAGCATTCTGGACCATATGTAGAGATTTACTTAGCAAGTTACGTTCTCCTAAAGATTAATTACTGGTAAAATATGCCATTGTGAATAGAGATGCAATCAAAACTAAATGCTAAGCTTCCTTCACATACTGTATAATAAAGATATATATAGAATCATTGTAAATAGGGACTTATGTACTTTAGTGGTTGTCACCTCCTGACAGGTAAGACTTTTATAAGGAAAAAGATTCTTACTGGCTGGAGGCTAAGGGTTGGCCCCAGTCAGCACTAGATTTCAGCATTCTCTTGAACAATGCTTAACAGAACATCATTGTCAGCCAAAATCACGGTGACTGACTGGTCAAAATGTAAAAGTACCACCATGCATAACTGCGTCTGAACTCAAGCAAAAACAAAGACAGTGCTCAAATTATTAGTGACCCAACCCTCCTTTACCCTGCTTCCTGAGTGAAGGTGCGGCTTATCTGAGGTAACTTAAGCATCAACCATTGTTTCCACCAAGACCCACCTACTTCCAGACAGCACCAATTCCTACCAATGCTTTGCTTCCATGAGTCCTCTTGAAACTGAAATGCCCTATGTTAAGCCCACACACTGTAAACTTTTTCTAATGCCTTTTTTGGAGATACTCCATAGTTCTCAATGTGTGCAGCTTTCTCATTGCAACATATCAAATTATGCAACTTTGAATTTGGGAACGTATTCTTTCTTGATAGCTTTTGCTAAAGAACACTGACATCACCTATCTGGCTGTGCATTTTATCAGTTGAAGACTAGACCTATCACATAATAGCCACCTACAACTTGGGAGATCCATGCTATCTTTGACCATTCTTTTATTTACCTGGTGGTGACAACATTTTAACAGGCTTGCCTTAATTCTAATAAAAATGTCAATATTCAAGTTCTCCAACAGTTCCAAATACATTCCTCAATCAAAATTAGTTATTTCCTAAAACACTGTAGGCAAGTTGTTTTAATGAGAGCAGCATTCTCTGTCAAATCATATACACTAAGGAGAGATTGCTGTTCACATGAAGCCTAAAATGTTTCATATGTTTCATCAAGATAAAGACCACCCAGTAAGGCATCAAGCATGCCCCAATACCCCCAGCACCCAGAAGGAAACATCAAGTTATACCTGGTTCCAACAAATCTGCTCCATTTTCCAAGTAAGGAGGAAGTCTGCACATGACAAAATCCTTCTTCATGTCTGATGACAGCAGTCCTTTTCTGTCCTCTAGCTGGTCTGCAAGAGTCCTGAGAAAGCCACTCACCTTTCTCTTTGCAGCAGTTGGGGTTTCCACTTGCTGAAAGTAAAGATGTGAAGCCTGTCTGGATGCTGGTGGAGGTAGCTGCCTGGGTCAGTTTTCATTGTAGTAGGCTGAGCCTCAATCCCAACACTATAGCCAAACACTCACTGATATAAAAAAAACATGCCATCCCATGGTGGGGAGGGACAGCCTGGACCTTAAGAAAGGGAAGCCTATTCCTTGTAGACAATGCTCATCTTACATTGTCTATCACTTGTTAAAATGTATATAAAAACAATAATTAGAACAATTTTCAGAATTTTGCTTAGAAAGGGGGCTCCCTGGAAATAAAGTACAGTCCAGGCTCTGTCTTTAGAAAGCAAGTCACTGATGACCTTAGGTAATGAAAGCAACTTCTGTTCTACTCAGCCTCAATCAACTTACTGTCTAAAAGCTAGCCAAAGTGTACTCCTATTCCAAATGCAGAAATATACACCAAGGCCCAGGTCTGCATGTGCCTCTTCTCAAACTAGAAACCTGATGTGTGCTCTGTACAGATCTGGGGCCATTCTTACTTCTTCAACTATTTATTCAGCAAATATTCTCAATCTTACTACTGCTGTGAAAAATAAAAATAAAAACAAACAAAAAACCACCAAAACAACAATCACAGATGGTCACAGATGAATGGCCCCACATGAAGCTATACTCCATTTGCTGAATAAATCCTGCAGCTCTGCACAGAAGGCTAGCTCATTTCATCTTGGAAGAATGCCCTTGGGTCCTTAGGAGGCAGGGCTTTGGCTGCTCTGGTCCCCCTGGCTTGCCACTTCCACTTCAATCTGCTTCTGTTCTTACCATGAGCATCTTCCGGGGTATTCCAGTCCTTAATGCCACATCTTCCTTTGCAATGTCAAATACAAGCGCAGAAATGGAATCCAAAAGTAAATCTCCCCATGAACTAGAACATGAAACAAGAAAATGAAAATAACCAAAGTAGGCAATGAGCAAACAATATATGTAAATACCCATTACTAGCAATGCTGCCAACTGGGGTCCCACTTGCTCATTTTCAAGGACTAAGAAAATTAAACAGATCCTACTACAAAAATGGACTTCAAAGGATCAAACTAAACACAAGCCTCTATGGGAACAGCTTTATAGAAAATTCTGACAGTCAATAAAAGTCCTAGGTAACAGACAAATTTCTACTTGTGTTGCAAGGAGGGCCTGCTTGTTCATCCCGGCCGCCCGGCTAGCTTAGCCCCAAAATAACCACACAGAAACTGTATTAATTAAAACACTGCTTGGCCCATTACCTCTAGCTTCTTATTGATTAGCCCCTACATCTTTAACCCATTTCTATCAATCTGTATATCACCATGAGGTCGTGGTCTACCAGATAAGTTTCAGCAAATCTACCTCCAGCCAAAGATCCATGGTGTTCCTCTGACTCCGCCCAAATATTGTTTATAATTGTTTCTTTACATTTAAAGAGGGATATGTTATAGATATGAATAATTTGCACTGGTATGAATCTTGATTTACTGATACAAATTTAAGGTCAATTTTGTTATATGTATTTCTGCTTTTGATTAAGGTATTGTGATTGTGTGGTTCATTTAAAAAATGTAATGTATAATTTAAAAATATAGGTTAATAGATAATCATCTTTAATAGTCAAGATTGTAATCATGTTAGCTAGATTTTCTACATGTATAGAGATATATTTCAGTTAGGTATTCAGATCTTTCAGAGACCTTCAGAATATGGCATATTAAATTAAATTAAATAAAAATTTAGGACTTTTCATAACAATGAGACACATCTGATCCTGGCAGCACCAATCTACTTCAAGAGAAAGATAGGCATTAAAGAGGCTCTTTATGGATTTGGTTAGCCATTTGAGAAAAAAAAACTACTCTTGCCTGGACTGCTTCACTGGACATATAGGACCTGCAAAAAAAATGACTGCTAAACTTGCCTAAAGGTGAAATGATCCTTCAAGGTTCCTGCTTCATAAAAGAGTCTGCAAAAACATTCTGAAGGATACAAAAAAAATGACTAAACTGTCTTTAAAATTTCTTACTTCATAAAAAAGTCTGCTGGATATTATGGGCCTGCAGGCTGAAGATGGATGCCCCAACAGTACAGAAGAACTTTGGGTAACTGTCCAGGTAGCGAGATGTCTCTGTCAATTGTAGAGTTTTGGAAGTTGCTTACAATGCACTTCCAGTTTACATAGGTAATATTATATCCTTCTGAAGTCTTCGATGGAATTGAAAAATATATAGTTAATAGTTTTCCTTAGTTATGATAAAAGATAAAGTAGATATAAATACTGTAACTACAATTCTTGCTTGATAACTGTTTTGTTATATGTAATATTACTATGTTGAAGCCTTCCTTTTTGTTTAAACAGAAAAGATGAAATGGTGTGGGAAGTCCTTCTGTCTTTGTGTTGCTTTCACTGGTTAATAAAGAAACTGCTTTGGGCCTGTTGATAGGGCAGAATTTACGTAGGCAGGGAAGACAGAACTGAATGCTAGGAGAAAGAAGGGCAGAGTTGGAAATATGCCATGGATCCATCAGAGACAAACGCTGGGAATTTTACCCAGTAAGCCACTGCCACGTGGTGATACACAGATTAATAAAAATGGGTTAAATTAAGATGTAAGAATTAGCCAATAAAAAACTAGAGCTAATGGGCCAAGCAGTGATTTAATTAATACAGTTTCTGTGTGGTTATTTCGAGGCTAAGCTAGCTGGGTAGCCGGGAAGAATGAGCAGCCACTGCTTGCAACATACTTGAACAGTGATATGCCACATTTTACTTAATAAGAGGGAAGCTGATCCTCAGTAAAATATCCACCAACATCAACAGTTTAAAACAAAATTGATTTCTATTCATGGTTTTACTGGAGGAGAGAGCAAGCCAGTGACCAAAAATAATACCTAGAGATAAATATCAATGTTCAATTAACTTTGCCTCCTCTGAGGTAGTTAGAATTGTTTCATTTCTGCCTCTGTGGCAGTTAGAATTGGCTCTTTCCCAACCATGTTTAAGTAAGAAAAACTCTGTGGGGTTGCTTTCTTTAAACACTTCTGAGCTTGTTTAAATTTCTCCAGTGTCACCAGCAGATTTCAAATTGAGGGCTATAAACAGAATGAAAATCACATACAGCTTCTGCTTCTGAGGAAAACTGTTACTCTCTTGCTTCCCATCCTAGAAGAGTGGCAAAGGAGGGCACAAAAGCCTTCAGGCATACTTTCCCCAAAGCCTACACTATGTGATGGTCATACTGATGTACAACTTAATGCCTCAGTCTCCATAACCCTTGTTGAATGCGGAGGACAGAGCAGATCTGTTAACAAGGAAAACACATGCTCTCTTTGCAGGGTTTTGGGTGGAAAGCATATGCCAACAGCTCATATAGGAATTTGATGGCAGACAGTGTTCTTCTGAGGGTAATATTGATCTTGGGAGTTTCTAAAAATTAGGAATAATAACACCTCCAAAGGGATTTGCTTTGTATTACCTAATTCAGAAGACCACACAGCAGGTCCCTATTTCAATAATGCCTCTTTGAACTGCGTTAAGAGGAAGCTGTACATTTCCTTACCACAGTAGGAGCCCAGATTCAGGGCACAGAACACCTCTCAGATTACATTTTTGCATTCTAACTCCTTTATTTCCTATCCAAATCAGGTCTAGCCTAGGTACATCAGTCACAGTGCCCACTCACAGCCCAGACCAGTAACCTGTATCTTGGAAAACTCTTCCTTAGCCCCAGATGATTGGTAACAAAAGATGGGCAGAATTGACGATAACATTATACATACATATACATATACATACATACATACATACATACATACATACATATATATATATATATATGGTGCAAAGGAAAAGGAAGAGAGTGAAAAACAACAGGGCTGGCAAGATGGATCAGTGAGTAACAACACTTGCCCGGAATGTCAGATTGTGACCCCTGGAACCCACAGTGGGAAGAGAACACAGCTAGCTAGCTCTAGCATGCTCCCCCTCCGCCAAGTTCTTGCTCTCACACACTAAAGAAGGCTTGGAGTGGTTAAGAGAACTTCTTGAGGACTTAGCTTTGGTTCCCAGCACAAACATATGGTGGCTCATGGCTATCTGTAGCTCTAATTCCAAGGCATCTAACATCCTTCTGTGGCCTAAAAGGGCACTAGGCATATATGCAGTACTTATGTACAAACACATATTCAGCCAAACATCAATATACAGAAAACAATATAATCTTTAAAAACAAGGAAAAGAAATAAAAAAAAATGATAATGACAAGAGCAATGAAAGGAAAGCAGGAGTAAGAAGGCAGGAATTCTACCACAAAGCCACCAATGCTCTGACCAAACAAAATTAGGAAGTGAGGGATTAACTATGTAACTGTAATGATGGGGCACCAGAAGATAAAGACATTTATAGGGCCAGCTATGTGACTGCCAAGTTCACATTCTTTGACCTAGAACATTCAAGGTTCCTATGACTCCCTCCCTCCATTGTCCCTACTCTTCTTTGTCCATGTGTGTTAAAATGCAAGTATATTTGTCAGTGAGTGTGATTATACACACATGACTGTGTGCATGCATGCTGAGGCCAGAGAAGAATATCAGGTGTCCTATTCTACCACTCTCTGCCATATTCCTTTGAGAGAGGATCTCTTAGCAGAAACTGGAGTCATGCTGGTATCCAAGTTCCAGTGATCCCCTCATCCCTGCTGTCCATAGCACTAGGGTTAAAGGTATATGCACACCATCCCAAACTCCTTTACTTTTATGTGGATGCTGACATCCAAACTGTCTTCATGCTTACACAGTAAGCACTCTTATCCACTGGGCCATCTTTCTATCTCCCCCTCCTCATCTTGACTGGCCTCTGAGATTTTCTCTTCTTTACCTAGTCAGGTATTTTCAAAAATGGAAACCTGATACAAAAATTTAGGACTTCCAATTGTGTGCAAATGGCACTAACCTCAGGCCAGCCAAGATGCAGCTACTTCCCCTAGTAAATCTCCTGAACATCGGGTGAGTTTCAGGGAGCAATCATGAGGAAGCAGAGTTAAACTTACTAACTTGTTTTACAAGTTAGTGCTCTTCAGTAGGAGCAACCTGATGCTCTTTGATCCTGGAATGCCCTCTCCTACCTCCCATGACCTTCTGACCCATGCCTACTTAGTCATCTACTGAGACTCACTCAGATGAATGTGAAGTCTTCCCATGAGTGATAGACAAGTTAAGCTAAACATATTCTTCTAAGCCCCAGGGGTCTCTTTACGAACCTTCTGTGATATACCCATGGCTACAGGTTTTTTTCTGTTTTTCTTTCCCTTGCCTCCCTACTACCCTCTATCCTCTATTTTGACACTTTCCAGTGTCAAATACACTTACATAGAGTGAGATATATGAGGTTTACAGTAGGATATCTAGGCAGGCCAATCACGTAAAAAAACACGTCAAAGAAATATGGATGTCAGCAAGAGAAGCAGCACAGAAAAAAGGGAAGTGGACAACTGCCTCAGGTCTATCCCGAATGTGGCTGTGGTGAGCGATAACTCCAAACTGTCCTAAGATACTAGATTAGTAGTAAGCAAAGGCCTTACTTGTTCTGGTAGGTGCTAATGGTCACATGAGTAGAGTGGGTCAGGCCTGATGGAGTTTCTGCCTGATGAATAGTCCCTCTGGGAAAGTACAACAAATCACCAGGCTTTAGGGGAAAAAAAAATCAGAGTTAAATACACATTAGTCTTTTTTGCTTTAAGATGATAAACATGTTTGAAGTTGTATATTCTAGAAAACCCTGTTCCAGGAAGTCTCTGTGCTGGGTTCATGCGGTATCTAAGAGCCCATCACTTTTTGTTTTCAAGGAGACACCAGCTATATAGGACTGAGATGCAAAAGAGATAACATTCTGTTTCTGGGACGGCTACTCCTCTTTCAGTCATAGAACCAGTACAACTTGCTTATCTGCCCCTCACCTTGGTTTCTCTATCACTAAAATGGGACAACAACCCCATAGCCTACTGCATTATTCAGAGGATTAAGGAAATGCTGTTTCCAAGCACTGGACTAGCAATGAGGGTATGGTTTTATTACAGTCACTGCCAGTCTTCATCTCTTGAGAATTTTCCTTAGATCTTCCTGACAGTATCTTTATCGTACCTACCATGAACTTCTCAGAGCCTACCCCCAAAAAGAATGAAGTATAGAACATAGATCAATATATAGACAGATAGATGATGTAGATTTAAGAAACTATCCTATCTCTATCTAAACTTAAAATCTGGATGAAATTAAAAATGAGTAGTTTTCATGGAGAGGTAAGCTATTTCTAATCTATCCTTCTCTCTCTTCTAAACCAATGACAGAAATACTCTGTTCTTCTGCCCTGAGATACTTTTGCCTTAATCTCATCCAGAATACATTTGTCTATTAACTAAGAAGAAAAGGAATCTTGAGCTGCTCAACTCCTCTTTCTTTCAAAGTAAAGAAAGCAATCAAGATCTGTTGAAAACTCAGGAGCCTAGGGAACAGTGCTCAAACACATCAGCTTAAAGGGAATTTAAAAGATTTTCTTCAAAACAAGAGAAAGCACACGTCTGTGTGTATGTGTGTATAAAGTACACATATGTGTATGCATGACGTATAACGTGTGCATGTATGAAATGAACATATATGTGTGCTATGTATATATTATGAAGTGTGCACATATGTGTGTGTATCTGTGTGTGTAAGAGCTTGCTTGGCTGCTGGCTTACTCTAAATGATGTCAAAATGATAGTACTTCAAGTAAATAAACATTCTTTTTTAATTACACCCACTGTTTATCAATTCTGTACTACCCTGAGGCCTTCACATATATGCTTCATTCACTCCACAAGAATCTGAATACTGCCCTCAGTCCTTTTGGGAAAGAGAAGGACGCAGAAGGAAAGAAATTCTGCTAGAACCAGTGAGGCCATTTTAAGACTTCTGACCTTAGGGACTATTATAAATCTATGTTGATACAACAACCACTATAATAAAAAAAACTTAACAGACATACTGACATCTCACCCAAAAAATTTTATTGTAAAGGAAGTACAATCCCCACAGCCTACAAGGTAAATATTATCTCCTGATTTAGAAAAATAATTTTCTGCTAAAGGGAACTGCAGTTAAGTGACATCAGCTTGATTCATGTCTATCTATGCCACACCCCCAAGCTAAGAGTAGAAGAGCTTCTGCATCCTGAGACCCACACTAAGACCAACTACACAGGCTAACTAGAATAGTGGGAAGGTGGATAAGGGCTTCGGAATTCTCACTGCAGCTCCCCTACTTCTGCCTCAGAGTGTGGTGGTTTGAAAAAGAATGTTCCTCACAGGCTCATTTTAAATACTTGGTTCCCAGTTGGTGGTTGCTTGGGAAAGATTAAAAGGCGTGATCCTGTTGGAGGTGTGCAACTGGAGGCGGGCTTGAAGCTTTAAAAGTCTTCTAAGCCCTGTGCTCGCTCTGTGTCTGTTTGCAGTATGAGATTCGAGCCCTCAGCTGTTCCTGCCACCATAACTTCACTCTTCCATTATGGACTCTAACCCTCTGAAACCATAAACCCAATTAAGTGCTTTGTTTTATAAGTTACCTTGGTCATTGTGTTTTATCCCGCATTACAAAAGAAACTAAAGAGTCCATCCAAAGAGGCTTATTGTGCAATCTTTGGTTAATAGGCCCCACAACAGAATAGAATGTGAGCAGGACAATGCATTTTGAATGGGTATGATTGCGCTCTAGTAAGCTATCTAACAGGCCAGCATTTTGGTCAAAGTGCACATAAAAACATCATTATTTATTCATATTTCCTATAATATAAGCACCCAATCAAAATGAAGATACCGTTTCCTCCTAGCTTTTGGCAGGCAAACCTTAAAATCAGGAAAGAGATATAGGTACAGATAAAAATTAGGCACTAGTTATACCCTGAAAATGCAAGAAATATGGGAAAACTATCTACACACAAAGTAAGAATCTCTGCAGTGGTCTAAGTCAATCATTCTATATTGCTACTAATGAAAATATTTCCTAATAAAGGGCATGAAATGAAGTGTATTTATGAAGTATTTCTGTATCTCTACATCCTTTTCTCAGGACCCTCTCCCGCCTGAGCCTGGCCATGTTTCCATCCAAACTAACTGAGCAAGATAGCGAGGAAGCAATACATGGTCAAACTACTTGGCTCCCTGGAGAAGGAACTCATAAGCACTTTCCTAGCTACTACTCACCTAGCAACCCTAAGCTGGGGAGGGATGGGCTGCACTATCAGAAAAACAGGTGGTACTGGAATTTCTGCCAAGAAAAGGAAGGGCACTTTGGCTGTGCTCTGCTTACATGCTAACACTGACTTCAATGTGGAGAAATAAGGCAAGGTCAAATCTTCCACATTTGTTTTAGAGAAGTTGGTGATTCAATGAATTCAACTTATTTCTGCTGAACAATCAGACATGGAGACAGGATAGTTCTGGAAGATAAATAGAAAGCTACCTTAGTTCACTTTTCTTAGACTTTACAGAAGCCCTGTTCTGGTGGGCGACAGTGAGAGCTACCCATCCCTGGAATCCTCAGGATACATTCCCACAGGGATCTTTTCACTACTTGGAAACTGTCTGAACTTGTCATAGTAAAAGAAATAACCAGCATAAGAGATGTGCATATGCCCCACCCATACCTTCAATATGAAGTCGTGCGTTGGTGTGCCAATCCGAGCCTCAGGTTCCACACTGTACTCACGTGCCAGGGGCACAGTTGGGGAGTAGAGACGCCAGTGTTTCTCTCCCTCCAGCTGCAGGATAAAAACCTACAGAGGGCCACACACCCGAGAGCATGAGAAAGCTTTCAAATAACCTGTAGGCAAGGAGCTTCTAGAATCTTCAAACATCAACAATGCCCACCCCTTACACAAACATATGCTGCCACCTCTAGTAATCAGGAACCGTGGGGCTGCACTCATTCTTCTCACCTTGTCAGACACCGCTGAGTTCTTATATTCGACTAGCTTTTGACTCTTCTATCAGCTAGACAGTAGAAAGTCATAACCTCTGATAGAAAAATCTGATACAAGAGAACGACCCAAAGCTTAAAAATTACAAAGAGCCTTGGTAGATATGAAAACACTATAGTTTTTTGTTCTTCATTTGGCTAAAACTATCTTAATATTCTCCTAAGAATATTAAAAAAAAACTTTTAAACAATATGTTTATACAAATAGCTCTCAGAGAAAGAAAGGGATTTTTTTTTGTTAATATCTGTGTTCAACCTTGTATGAGTACAGAAATAAAACTACAAAATAACCAAGTGAATGAGTTAACTTTTTTGGAAGTCACATAAGAATGAAATCAACACTTGTCAATGTGCCAGGGCTTAAGTAGAACCAGGACCTTCATTCAAACTGCACCAAGATGTTTACAAGTGGAAAAAAATACATATTGTTGGCAGTCACTGAAAACGGACAAAGTTAAAGTAAATGTAAGGACTGTGATCTCATCTTACTTTGTAATTTTTCGTAAAAGTCATTTTTTTGTTTCTATAGAGAATTTCCAAAAAATCCTGTTTCTAAAGAATGTGGTTTTTAGTCTTTGCATCAGCAAAGCTGCAGCTAGGCCCCTGCTTTGAGGATGAGCAGGAACCAGTCTGGGGGATATGTTTTAGCTCAACATTCCAACTTGGAGATGAGGTCAGGATCTCCAAAGAGGTCAGAGAAGAACGGTCACAGACCTGGTCTACCAGCCCTCCAGAGTAATAACGTCAACCCTGACAACCGACCAAGCCTGGCTCTCAGCATCTCCTGCTTTCCAGCCTGGGCACTATGATTCCTCTCTTACCTCGACATCATCATAATGGGGAGGGAGGCCCTGAGATCCTGCTGGAGTCATGTATACATTCGAGCCGACCAAGGAGCCAAAGTAACATTCCAGCTTTTCCTGGATCCTCCAAAACTCATTCTTTGACAAAGAAAAAAGAAAACGAGTGTGAACAGAAAACAAGAAAGCAAATGTTCCAGTTATGACTTCCTATGGTGATGTTTTGAAGCCAGTCTGAGGCTCTAACAGGAAATAAGTACAAGAATTTACATTTGGGAACTCCTGAAAAATAGTTAAAGCAAGGGGAGCAGAAATGACAATCTGGGAAGGGGTGCAAACAGAGGAATGAGAACAAGCTGAGCTAAACTTCCTCTCGAGTCACTCATCAGCTGTAAGGCAGACTGAGGAGCCATATAAGCCTGAATTGAGAGATCTGAGTTACCTAATACAGGTAAGAAGTCGGCAAGTGGGCCTTGTAGATAACAGCATATCCTACTTCTAAGTTTTTAACCCATGCTAATTTATTACCCTTCACAACAATTCTGTCTCACAGAGTAGGAAATCATTAACACCAGTTTACAAATAAGGAAAGCAAAGTAGAAAAGCACACAACCATTAACCTCAGCCAAGATACCAGCCTGCAGCCCAGCTCCAGAATCTACACCTTCGAGATAATTTGGAAAAGGCAAGTCACTTACTCTAAACATATACTAAAGAGACTAAGCTTCATGTATATGAACGAACAGTGACAAACATATAGATGCTTTATTATAAACATTTGGTTTATCACATACACCAGTGAACATAGCTAGAGTTCTATCACTTAGCTGAAACGAACCAAGTGTTAATATTAATAGCAGGTGGGGAAAAACTGGGTCAGCATGAAAAAGCTTTCAGAGATGAAGATCATCAGATTTCCTTATTTACAAATCTGAGAGGTTCTCCTTAGCACACACAGAAAAAAAATAATTTAATGGCCTCCAAATAGCTCCGAAGAGTTAACAGAGCTCCCAGAGAGCCTAATTTATTTTGGATAGAGGCAACAGGACCTGGCTCTCTAATTACTTGGTATCTGGCACCACTAAGAAGCCAGGCCTCGGCTCTTGCTCTTTAGTGTCCCAAAAGATCTTTTAGGAATGTATAGTAAATTTGTGGCTTCATAAACATCAGTTACCACTAAGTGGTGGAAAAAAGCACTGGTAAGTAATTGATGAATGTATCTCTTTTATTAAGGGTTACCCAAAATGCTACCAGTTCTGCTGCTTTCCCATTTATCTTGGCTCTCTGATTTTTATATCTTCAAACTGTGCCTGTTACTAAAAGGTGTAGAAACAAACCATGTTTGTCAAAGTTGCAGTTACAAGCTCAGGACTATGCTTTATTTACCTAGGATGCTATCCTCACAATGACCACCCAGAAACTCAATGTCACAAGTTCTGTTATTAATATATTAACATGCCTTTCTTGGCTATCCATCTAGTAAATCATCAGGTCAAAGCCCTGAACTCTGAAGCCTCCAGAAATACAGTTAACAGGGCAGAACACAGAGATCCCTCCTACAATATGCAAAAATTAATCAGTGCATTAAACACATCCTAGAGGTGCAATGTTACTTTAATAAAGTTATAAACTTCGGAATCTTTGGTTTTTGCAGCTCTATGATACCTAAAATATCTACCTATCACTGTTGGAGATTCAAAATATCTAGTCAGAGACTGGGGAGATGGTTCAGTGGGTGAGAACATCTGTTTTACAATCAGAGGAACCAGAGTTCAGCTACTTAGTATTCACATAAAAGCTGATGTAGCAAAGTACTTTTGTAATATTAATACTGGAGACACTGAGCAGAGACAGCTGAGCTACCAAGCTCACTGACTATCCAACCTAAACAAATGGTTAGCTCCAGAATCAGTGGGAAACCCTGATCTCAAATCTATAAGGTGGAAGCAATCTAGGAAGATACCCAACATTTTTCTCTCCTCCTTCCACATATGCATGTATGAGTGAGCACATTACATATACAATTTCATCAAAAAGGTAGTATGTCCTAAGTTCAATGTATTTAAAGACCAAATAGATATTATGCATTCTCAAAATGATCTTCATCTTCAAATCATACATTCAGTCTTAAGCTGATGTGTGGTCAAATGCTACCATTTTCATATGTATGAGAACTTTGCTGTGGGGAGATCCATTACCTTAAATCTCTGTGGTTGATGAAACTGAATTGTTGCCCTCTTCTGATCAAAATCTTTTCTCAGCTGAAGGAAGTGTACTTTGCCATTCTTATTTAAAACCTTCTTCTTCCCATTGATGCACCGGCAGACATTCAGATCTTTTCCATAATACAACCCTTGAAGGCAGAGCCTATTCAGATCTGAGAATCTGAACAGAGACTGGTAATAGGCGGCCATTGAAGGGTTATCCCTCTGGATGAGAAGGGGCTTTTGTTCCCAGAATTCCTTGAAAAAAGTCTCTACCTTGATGGGTGAGATTAAACTTTCAAAAAGAGCAGTGGGGCTGTTGAAATTTAATGTGGACAGCTTGTCAGACTCATCTACCTTCGACTGCTTATAGGGAACAGGCCCATCTTCTTCTGGCCCATTCCCTGTAGGCTGTGCTTTCTTTGACATTGTTCACAAAGTGGGAGGAAATGCAAACCTGCCAAAAGAACAAAAGACATGGTTAGGAATACAGAAGTACAAACACACACACACACACACACACACACACACACACGCACCCCAACCACGTGACTGCAACCACTTTGCCTCTTTGAGAAGTCATTAGTAAGTACTACTTCCTTCAAGATGAGACTGCCTTAAGCCACTGTCACTTCTTCCAGGATGATTCAGCCTTAAACACCACTCAATTTATACACTCATTTAAGGAAAACACAATTTTCTATGTATACAAGCACTAAGTCCTGGAAATCATTATTAATTAAGAGACTTGATTATCTCAAATTAAACCATTCAACTCTCTCAGCAGTTCTTACTCAAAGGTTTAGCCCATGGCCATGGAAACAGTGAAACCAAAAATCTTGAATTTGGCTGGAATCAGCACCATGTCCTGAATTTAATTAGATGCCCTCTCTATTACAAACATCTGATAGAGAATCAGGAACAGCGGTCTGCTGCCAGGTGCTGCTCAACGTAACACCAATGTGCCCTGGGCAGTGACGTCACCTGGTGCCTGGAATGAGACTCTATAAACACTGGAAACTCCACTTTCAAGCGGAAATTATTCTTGAGAAATATCACTATCAGGGCACTTTCCCTTTGCCCATTAGAAAATTTTAAAGTTTTAAAAATGAAGGTTAAAAACAGGTACATGACAGGTCTTCAAAAGATGAAATTTTTAACTGAAACAAGACATCAATCACCAACCACCACCATTAGCCTCTAACAGCACTTTTCCAATTTAACGTCAACAAAGATATGAGGCATCAAATGGACCAGATACCCATGGTGACAACACTGCTTGTCTGTGGCACATATCTGGGTAGCAAGAGGATCAATACTCTCAAGCATCCCCAACAACTCTTATTACTTCATAGGTCCCCTTCATGTAGGTATAAGAACCATTAATTCAAACTATACAAATATTCACAGAATATAAAATTTGCAAATATCATTTGGAAAAGTATGTTTGATTTTGGAGTGCCTGCAACCATATAACGAGACATGCAGTCTAAGCCTGAAATTGTGTATTTGAGATAATCAACTAAAGGAGGAAGGACTGATTTTGGTTAAGTTTTAGGGGCTTTCGTCCACTGGATGGCTTTGTTGTCTGGGGCTTGTGCAGAGTCTCAACATCACAGCCAAGAGAATGTATTACCTCATGGTAGTGGGGATACAAAATGGAAAGAGGCTAGGGTACCAATATCAAGGACACCCTTCATGAACTAACTACTTTCTACCAAGCCCTGAAGAGTCTACTCAGAAGTTCCAAGACAGAGGCTAGCAACCAAGCTTTGAGCACAAAGGCTGGGATTAGGGGGTCAATTTAAAACCAAAACCATAGTTAAATGCATTTATCCTTCATTTACAGTTTATATGCACAGCCTGGGGGTAATTCTATGCCTACTTTATGAACCTCCAATATGAGGTCAGGAAATTATTTTCACTTACAGCATCATGTTGGTGCTCAGAAGTTTGGGGCATATCAAATCTGGATTAGGAATGTTCACCCTATACAGCTTTTTCTTTTTGTCTTTCTAATCCTCAGAAGAGGTTCCATTTCTCTAATTCCTAACAAACTGCCTTTTCCCAAAGAAGGCAGTGCTTATAAAATACCAAGTGTTCCTCAAGGCTTGTAACTTAAAATTGTATCACTTCCTATTGTGTTGAGTTACCAGGATGCAAGAAGCTGTCTTTCCCTCTCATCATCTCTGGAGCATTTAGCAACTCTGCGGAGTGAATGAGTATTCTAGTCTTGGAAGTTCTAGAATGATCTGCAGCAACTAATTTTTAAACGAGCTTTAAAAATGCAACCCAGATATAAAGCAGACAAATTAAAAAGTGGAAAATGAACAAGTCTGAAACTAATAGTCTGATTTCTATATTAGCATCTAAATTTTGTAGTACCAAGAAGCTCAGTTCTTTCAAGAAGCAGAAGAGCAAACTTCTGACAAACTTATCCTACCAATGCAGAATGGGAGCTAAGGACAGTCTGTAAACTTAATGTTAGGATATGAGCTCAATGAGACAAACTTTCAGAAAATACTTTGGATATTCATTTTAATTCAAACCCAACTGTTTCAATCTTAACCCAAGTGATAAAAAAAAACCTGCCATAGCTGGAATTCTGAAGAGATATAGAAATATAAATATGAAGACAGACTCAGTAAAAAACTCTTGAGTATACAGTGAAGGAAGGTATCACTCCTGTTTGAAAAGCCAGCTAGTGGCTGATACTGGGAACTGGATATTTCTGGGGAGTTTTTTACTACCATTAGATAAAATACCTAAACATGCAACCAACCCAGCTGACACCCTTTCTTCTGAAGGTTTGAACTTTTGGTACATGCCAAGCAACCTGGCGGGCAACAGTTTCTACCTGCTGATACAACCAGGTTCTGGAATAACTGAGAGTGGCTTCATTAGAAGACCCTGGAACCTCGCACCTGGTCAATTCAGGAATTCAATCCATGCACCTTTTTCCTGTGCTAATTTTGGTTAGCATTTCACGTAGCAAATTGCTAAGCCTCTCACGTTAAACTTTTAAAACGGTTACGACTATTCTCTTACAGCACTAAAGGTGCTATCTTAGGGTACTGCTGTGATGAAACACCATAACCCAAGTTATCTGGGGAGGAAAAGGTTTATTTGGCTCTCATCATTGAAGGATGAACCTGAAGGCAGGGGCTAATGAAGAAGTCATGGCCACGGAGGGGTGTTGTTTACTAGCTTGCTCCCCATGTCTTGTTCAGCCTTTGTTAGTGGAAGCCAGGACCACTAGCCCAGGGAGGGCCATACCCACAATGGGCTGAGCGCCCCCACCCATCAATCACTAATTAAGAAAATGCCTTACAACTGGATTTTTCGCAGGCATTTTCTCAGTTGAGGTTCCCCACTTTCAGATAACTCTAGCTTGTGTCAAGTTGACATAAGACTAGCCAGGATTGGTAATTTCCAAAGTAAACTTATAGTTAAGGCACACATCTCTTATCCTTATAATTGCTCAGTTTGGTATTTGAAGATGAGAGGAGGATGCAAGTGAAAGGACTGTTGCCTTTAAGAATAACCTCTGAATGAACTAGCACACTCACCAAAAGGTATGGTTAAAGTGCACAAAATACTTAACAATAAAACCACTTAAGGATTTTTCCCACCTACAATCACCAACAAAAGTCAACCCCAAGATAAAGAACTCACCTTGCCTACTATTACACCATCTATTTTTCCCCCTTTATTCACACTGAAATGATCTGAACCCCAGCCAATTAGAAACTAACTCGTATGTTACTGGGTAAATATAGTTTACCACACACAACTCTTTTTTTTTTTTTTACAAGTTTTGGCGGGCAGAGCAGAGTAGGTACATAGCTATCCCATTAAGCCTTCTCCAAATATCCCAACCATTTTACAACCATTCCACAATCATTTCAAATGCAGTAAAAAGCATAAGGTGGAACAAATTTCCAAGAAATATAGTCTAGAAAGGTGCAGTGCCTGCCGGTAAGCTCCAAAGGCCACACAAATAAGAATATTTCTTTCTATAAAGCTAAGCGGGAAGCGGGGAAACATGCTCTACAGAGGAAGTATTTTCAGTGAGTTGATTTCAGGCAGATAAAGGTAAAAGACTTCAAAAAGAGTCCCAGTTTATAAACTGGTAACAGCTATACCACTAATAAACTCTACAAAAAAAAAAAATGTCGGCACCCATATTACAGTCAACAAATTTAGTCTTTACATTTTAGGGCGCCCTAATTTTTCTCATGGTAAAATTTAATGACAAGAAGTCACAAGAGCTTCTTAAGGGACAAATAACACAGCACTGCCAGAACCTAGTCAAGTATAACAGCAAACAGTCAAGTCAGAATTTAGTCACAAGAGTATACCAAAATATCAAAAGCCTTACCAAAACAAATCAAAAAACAACCCACAAAACGACAGTTGGGAGAGACAAGAGGCTTGCACGAAACGACTATTCTGGAGGAGTCACCACAGACACCAGCACTTACTAGTAGCGGGGGGGGGGGGGGGGGGGGGGGGGGGGTATTTTAACAGCAAAGCTTCAAACTCGCAAATTTCTAGATGGACATCAAACCTATTGGATTAACACCTCTAATGCTGGAGGCAGAAATCTATATTCACAGAAGTTCTTAATCAATGCGCGGCCCAGCAACCTAAAGAACACTGGGTTGATTTCGGCTCCATTAAACACACCTGACAACTCCATCGTGATGGCCTGACAGGTGGCTGCTCCCTGACCCCCCCACACAGTGGAAGGAAAGACTCCCTCAAAGTGTCCTCCGGCCTTCACTGGCACACCATAGCATGTGTGCATCCACACATACACAAAATAAAGAAAATGCAGAATTTTAAATTACATATCGCTGTAACAAGATCAGCTGGAAACCTGAAGTAACTTTTCCGAGCGCAGAAAGTTTCATTAATTCAGATGTCTCACAGACTGTTTGGGGGCTTTGTACAAGCAGAATACGAATCGTGTCGTATTGATGTACTAGGGGGCAGGGGGAGCAATGAGGTCACAAAAAATGTAGCCCCAAAGTTACAGGCATCCTGGTTATAACGTGAGCCAGTAAAGCACATCTCCCGGCACCGGAAGCGCAGGTACTGAACGGTGGGACGGGCACCCAGACTTCCTGAAACCTGTTTCTAGTCACCTGTTGGACAACCAGGGGTTAGGCAGTCAAGTCTTCCCCACGAAAAGAGAGAAGCGGCAACCCACGCCGCACTCCAAGTCAGGACTGAGCCACTAGTCCCGCGCCCCGCGCCCCGCCTCCGCCG